CATTTGGGGGAATTTCAGGCAGTCGAAAATCCTTACTTGACAGCTTCCACCCTGGCAGAGCTACTCACGCCAAGCCACAGCGACGCGCACAGCACGCTGCCGCTGCCCGACCCGCGAGCACAAAGCACAGCAATTCTTGCTGGCCTCGGGCTTCTTCTCAGATCTTTGTACTACAGAGATCCCCAGGAATCTAGGGCACCCTCTGAAGGGGATCTACACCATTCCTCATTGCTTTCAACCTAGGAATATCCTGCTCTCCAACAAGAACTGGCCAGGTAGGATTCAGGACATTAAGTCAAACTGTTCACATGGAGCTGCCAAAACACATCGGTCCCTCCGGAGAGTCTCAGCCTGGTCCCTCCAGCGTGACGGCCACACACGAGGTGGGAAGCTCACCCCCACCCAGCTACCCCAGCTGCTCCCAGCGCTTGCTCCAGCTGCACCTCAGCCTGCAGGACAGAGGGTGGCAACACCGATTGCTTCTTTCTTCCTGAAAGCCACCGAGGGACCAAGCAACAGCCAGACAAGACAACAATTTCTGTCTCAGTGTAATCTAACTAGACGTTGAGGAAAGTTGTGGTACGAGGGACAGGTACAGCCCATTGTGGCCTACACCAGAGCACACACTTTGCACCTCAGCTACTACTGCTGCTGCTACCAGGGACCAGCTCTCCGGCCTCCGCGCTGGCTCTGAGCAGGAAGCTGGGTACCCTGACGTCAGCCTCCAGCCCCTGGTGCTCAGGGCAGGTCCCGAGTCTCCAGAGAGGCAGAGGATGGGGCTGAACTGTGGTCAGAAGTACCAGCGACTGGTGGCTGGTGCGATGGCTCCCAGCCTTCAGGCCAGCACTGCTGCTTGTGGACAAGGACCTGATGATCTACCCCGAGGGAGCGGGCTGACTGAAGCGATTAGCGTGACCCTTTCCAGACCTCAGGAACAGGTCATCAGCACAGAATGCTCGCCCAGTGCTGCTCCAGGGTTTGGCCCGCTCCTTTCCCCACCTGGCCTGCAGGGCAGCCTTACCAGCCACCCTCACGATGTGGGGAGCAGCAGGACCCGTGCCTCCTGGTCAGCTAATCTGCGCTTGCAGCACTCCTCAGCCAAGAGCCCAGCTCACGGTTACCAGCCCGCACAAGCCTAGCGATCCAGTCAGACCAGAAGCCTCTTTAACAAAAACCTCCCAGGGCAGCAGTTGCATCACCCACCCGTCCCTCTACCACCCAGCGTGGAGTTCCAGCAGGACAAGCAGGGAAAGGGCCTGTCGCAGCCCGGCCTTCGATAACATCGCTTGCAACATCACTGTGCAACAGCGGAGCCACCAGCTTCGCACGCAGGGAGAGTCAGTAATAAACCCAGAGCTGACAGGACCTCCCCAAGAGAAGAGGAGCTGTTTCCTAAGGACAGGGCACACCCTCTCACCGGCTCAGAGCTGGGGCTGGAAGCCTCCGCACATCTGGCTGCTTGTGACAGAAGCCCTGCCCCTCCCACAGGATTTAGACCCCCTACTCCAGCTGCAGGTACGGCTGCCAAGGGGTTACAGGTTCTTGCTTTGTGTTCACAGGGCACAGTTATCACCCCGTACCCCAGAAGAGTCAGACCCCCATCTGCCAGAGCTTTCCAAGCTATTATCCTTTGAAATTCCTTATGGGAATTCTCCCTCTTTTCCCCACCCAGAGCCCTGACACAGAGGACAGTGAGAACAGGCTGGGGCAGCTCAGCGTGTTTAGGCTGTCCTTACTGCTGAGGCCGTTTGTGCGGAGAACGGAGCGACACAAACCTGAGGAAACCACGGGAGGTGTCCCATTTCATCAAAACTCTGCTCACGAAGGGCTCTTCGGGCACTGTGGCACATCAAGTATTCCAGAAAGGAAAAAATATTCGACAAGCCACCACGAGGCAGCACATACAGTTACGAGAAGTTGATCAGTGTTTATGATACCAGAGCAACCAGGCAACGGACTCAGACCGACGGTGCGGCACGTCAAGTGTCTGCAGGCTGCCACAAGCCGCACTGCTCAGTGGAAAGCTCCGTGCTACGCTCCCAGGAGGATCCCATCACCCTCAGCCCCGGCAAGACGTGGATCCCTAGCTCAGATGCCCACGGTGCCGCTGCAGCGTGTTCCAGTTCCTGAAGTGAGGGGTCACAGGCAGCGCCTCGCATCCAACCAGCCCTGCTCAACTGCAAACCAGCCAGAGCTCGCTCGATATTTATTAGCTGCCACACCCTGCCAGTGCCCTGGTGACTATCGGCGGCGGTGATTTCCCGCTGCCACCCAGCATTTGGCAACCGACGCCAGTGAACGCGACGGAGCAGACGGGCGTGAGGAGCCTTCAGCCAGGCTGAAGTAGGCACAGCTCGAGGACTTCCCGCTGCAAAGCCCAACCGACCTAGGGAGCGTGCTGCGTGCCCAGGTGCCGCTGGCAGAGCTGTCATTCACATTTGTGAGCCGGTGAGACACGCAAAGGGAAAAAAATCCAGCGCGTTAACGAAGTCTGTGTATTCCATCAAGGGCGATGAGGGTTACACTGGTTTGAAGGCAACATTGAAACAGTTACTCTAAAGCAGCAAGTGGTCACTAGAAACCCACTTCTGCAAAGCGCCAGCCGTTCCATTCCATTTATGCGAGAGTTGTTTTTCCTTTTAAAAAAAAGGTGACATCATGCTCGAGCAACAAGGCAAGAGAAATACAAAAGGAGCTTTATGGCTCTCCCCAAGATATGCAGATCAGAACAACACACTCCCAGCTACACCCAGACATGGAAAGGGCAGCCCCTCAGAGCACAGCAGTGTCTGGCACATCGGGTCAAACAGATGGAGCTTTGTTTAGGAACAAGCGCAGCAGAACCCGGGTGCTGCTGCTGCTGCCGCCGCTGTCAAGCTTCAGTGTCTTTACAGCACTCATTCCCACAGATGCCCTGTGCACAGTAACTGGGAAAAGGGACTGGAATTCAGAGCGAGAGTACGAATGCAGGGTGCAGGTGCAGAACAAGCCACCAAGCAGAGAGGCAAATCCAAAGTGGAGTTTGGAATGGCAAGACTTATCTGTGTGAGACAGAAGGAGACACTAATTTTAAGAGGAGCCTAAGTGTTTGTGCGCAGCAAACTTTGCTTAGGGAGCTTCTGGATGCTGGTGTTAAGGCTGGTCCTCCGCTGTGCAAGTACCCGGCCTCTCCTTGGTTAGTGGGAAGGACTCCGCGGAGCAGCTGTTAGTAGAACCCACCGCAAATCCGAACGAAAAGCCGAGTAGCAAAGTTGCAGAAACACACGAGTTTAGCTACTTCCACAGATCGGTTCATGATCCAGCGCGTGTCAAGCCGGTTACAGCAATTCCCGAGGAAGCCACTCGAGCACTAGCCACAGCCTCTTCCAGGAGGAATCCTGAGACCATGGCCCAGGGGCGCCAGTAGGCAACTAAAGCCACTTCCCCTTAGGAAGCCTTTCCCACTGGGGCTGGGAATTGCACTCGTAGAGTTCACAAGTCAGAACCCTCTCAGGCCAGCACAGCACTTGGTGTTACACATGCAGCTCACAAGGACCTCGAGTTAAGAGCATGGCATGCTGCAGGGAAGCCTCCACAGTCCCTGAGGTGGAGATCTGTAGAAGTAACCTAGACAACACAGTGCCATTGATTCTCCAACTATGAAAATCACAGCAAACCAAGCAAGCTCTGGCGGTCTAGCCTGCTGAAGCAAGAGGCAAACACCAGCCAGCTCATATTTACATGGAAGTCATGTCATTCAGGGCGTGGTCCAGTTCCTCACTAATTGCTTTGTACTTCAGTTTCTGGGCATAGAGCTCATCTAGAAGAGGTTCAGGAGGAGAACAAAAGGGAAACAATGAGGGAAGGCAGATGAGTTCTTCCAAAACCCTGGGGCAGGAGAAGCAGTACGGGATTCACGAACAGAAGAAAATTAAGTTAGATGTGGAGCCATCACGTCTCCGTGTTTGTTCCCGACAACGAACAGGAGGGTTCCAACAGCCTGAGGACAGTCTGACCAGCAAGTCCCTTCCAGGATTACAAGCCAGCTCTGAAGGAAGCAGAGCCAAGAACTCAAACCACAGCAGCTCGTGAAAACAAGCTGCCCAGCTGGGTCAGCAAGAACCACTGCCAGGAGGAGCAGCAGGGAAGAGCAACTCCATCCACTTCAGAAGCTTGCTACACCTCAGGCAGGCACAGATCTTTGTTTTCACCTACACTCTCAATTAAAAAAAGCTTGGGAGAGTCCAATCCTGTAGTCAGTGCTGGACATCAGGGGGAATTCCCATTCTGTAGGCTCCCACTGCTCAGCTGTGCACTAACAGACACGCTCTCGTGTTTTCCATCAGGTAACGGAGCAGACAAGCAGATAACCCACCTGCAGGGCAGGAGGCGGTCCTGAAGCTCACGCTGATGCACTCCTCTGCGCATTCCTGGCACCGACTTCTCCCAGCTCTGGCTGCCTAGGCTACGGCATGGCTGCTAACGCTGTTAACAGCTTCACAGAGCCCAGAGAACTTTGTCAGTTGTCATGAACTAGGTCACTTCAGCAGCAAGGCTGGAGACCAGAGCCAACTCTCGAGCATCGTGTTTCAAGGGGAGCACGCAGGGATTTGGAGGAGTTTTTGCAGTTCCCAATAAAAGCTTGCCCTGGATCATGAAGTGGCTCAGATTGCTGCTTGGCCACGGTTCTGGAACAGCTCAGCTGACATCATTACTATTTCTAGATTAAAACAAAACCCTCCTGAGTAACTCCAGATTGTAGGATGTGGCTTTGAATCTCCAAGACCTGGTACTAAAATACCACCAAAGGCACAGGCTGCAGTTGCAGCAGGAGGCCTGGAAGAGTTTTGGTTTACCAGCACCAGACTCCATCCACAGAAGAATCCAGCCACAGGCCCAGATTTAAGGGAGGCAGCTGGAACCTTCTCCTTCCATGGCCTGGGGGGAAAGGCTCTGCAATGGCTGGCCTCAGGAGTGCTCCTGAAGCCCCATGAAACCACTAACAGGAGGAAAGGCTGACTGGAGGGGGCTTCTGGTGATTTAATCTTGAACCAAGACCACACTGGGGAGCCTGAGTCTGACTCATCAACTACGGTGCTTAACGGTCAGCGTGAGATTTGGCAGACAAGCATGTTATCGTAACCAGTTCCTGGGGAGTTCAGGGGGTTTTATTTTCCCCTAAGCCACTCCTTAAATCAGGGTTAAGCTGGAGCACGGGCATCCAGTTACATTCCTGAGGACATCACAACCAGCGTCCACCAGTGTCCTGTTTGAGCTGAACAGAACCAATCCTGGTCAGTGATTTTACTTTTCAGCAGAGTCTTCTAAGGAGCTGCGCTTTGTGAAGTCAACAGCATGTTTTTGCAGACAGTGTCTGCTACTAGAAGTGATAACGCCCGGTGTTTATGTTTTGACCCAGGATTGGGATGCACAAGGGCTCTTGCTTATATTTGCTCCTGTACTAACCAAGGTCACCGATAAATCTTGTGAGCCACGCTGAGGGTGCCAGGAATACTCAGTATAAAGCTGAGGGATCCCAGGGGTGAAGCTCTCTTTTGCCTTTGATCCTGTCCTGAGTTCCCGAATCCAGCTCCTGTACCCAGCTCCCCTCTGCCGCTGAGCCTGGGACTGCCCCGGTGCCGCCGGCTCTGCAGCACCCGTGAGGATTGATACCGGGGGGAGCTGCATTCGATGTCAGTTTTGTACGTATTTGTACATACTGCGTTATTTTCATTAGTTCCTTATCATTACTGCCACTGTTTGATTAAAGCTGGTTTAGTTTTCTTTTCCATTCTGTAACTCTCTCTGCCTGATTCCTTTTCCCTTCCTGTTTGGGGACGGAAAAGAGGTCAGAGAGCTTCTGTCAGCATTCAGCTGCGGGCTCAGCCCTAAGCCTTGACAACCAGCTGCCTTATCTGTCACTATCAGTCAGGGACAGCGAGGGGTTTAGATGAAGAGCTCGAAACCTGCCACAGCTCCGCCAGGGAACTCTTTTCAGAGCAGACACACAGGACATGGCTCCCAAGCCTCGCCTTGGAGGCCGAGCTACGTCACGCTCCAAGTATGAGGAGCAGAGCAGTGTCACCACGCTCAAGCTATGTGGCAGACGGCCTCTCTCAGCTCCCCACCGCATGTTCTTGGTATCCCATCCCCAGAACGTACCTTCCAAATCATCAATGGTCTTCTCCAGCTTGGCTACAGACCGTTCAGCGAATTCAGCGCGGGTCTCCGCCTGCCAGACAGAAGCCAGGCAGTCAGTATTTTGGAACACGCCAAAGGACGACAGAAGCATCAGCCCGAGGACATGAAGCGTCCCACCCTCCACGTCTCCCCTCAGGCAAGCTGAGCCATCCCGACACGCTCACTCACCTCTTTGAGTTTATCAGTCAGGATCTTGATCTCCTCTTCGTATTTATCCTCTTTTTGGGAGTACTGAGGAAAAGGAGAGGAGTCAGCAATCAGCAGCCCCCAGCAGCCCCAGATACCTCCCGTTCCAGAGAGCCCACGGCTACAGAGGGGAACTCCAACTCCTCACGGCAGCGCACACGCCCACACAAATTTCCACACGGGAGTTGCTCGCATCCCTGCCCTAGTCCAACAGAACTGGGTCAGGCAGCAAGTCCCACCTCATGCACATAAACCTGGGCGCAGAACAATTCTCATCCTGGCAGCACAACCATCTCAACTGATCAAGCGTGCCCCAAGGCAGGGAAGGGCAGTCAGGCTTCCCGCACTCCCGTCTTCCGTGGCCAACGTTAGCCCTACGCTGAAATCCATTAGCTCTCCCTCCTCGGAGGGCAAGCCCAGCTCTCCTCGCTCGCCGAAGGCTGCGGCTGCGCCACCTCCATCCCAGCGGGTGCTCTGCTGTCCTACACCCTCCTGGCAAAACCAGAAATGTTTCTGGCCCTTGGACAAGCAGCCCTACCTTCTCAGCTTGAGCCTCAAGAGACTTGAGATTGTTGGTGACATTCTTCAGCTCTTCTTCCAGCTCGGAACATTTACTGTGGGGTTTCATAAAGAAAGCGTGGAGAGAAAAAGGAAAAGAAGTGGGAGGAAAAGACAGGAGAGACAAGAAGTGAATCCATGTGCAGGGAAGACCAGGAAGTTCTTTAGGAGACAGTTTGCCATCAGGCTGGCTGGGACCCTGCTTTGAGGCCTTGGCGCAGAAAGCAAGTTCCCTTCCTGCCTTCGAGTTCCAGTGTCCTGCCAGCACATGCACAGGGCACTGAGCTGAGCAGCTGAGACGTGGACCCAGATTTCTGCCAGACCTGGAGTCTTCAAATAGAAACTGCGTTTAGTTCGCTGGAAGGAGGGCAGCTGTTCTGACGGACAGATGGACAGCCGCCACCGCTCGGACAGAAATACTGATGGGCAGAGAGGACAGAGCATTCCAGGACAGAGAGAGATGCAGTTAAGCTGAAGGAAGGAGCACAGCGAGAATACCACAAGAGTTCCGATTTAATGGTTCAAGAAGGGAGAGGTTAGTACCTTTTCTTCGGCAACAGACAGACACTTCAAGTTCTGGTCCATCACTCTGATCTGCTCCTGCAGCTCCCGGCAACGACTGTTAGTGACGGTCACACGATGGCACAAGCCAGGTGGGGGCAAGGGTCAAAAGGAGCACCAATAACACAATACCACAGAGCAAAAAAGGGGGTGGGGAAAAACACAAAAAAGTCATGGTCATGACATGCATGTCTGGGCAGGAAGCACAGTGCTACTGCTGCGCACACACCGACTTTGTTAGACAAGGCCCAGAGCACAGAAAAGCCCTGAGCGGCTCCTCACGGATCAGCTGCTCCTCCAGATGGAGGAAAGGAGCCCAAATAACCCCAATTTGTGTGTCTGCTCCGAGCAGAGGAAGCCCAGCTTGCTGCTCGGCAGCGCAGAAGCCTGCAGTGGTTACTGCAAATGTTTTACGAGGCCAGAGACAAACCTCAGCCACAGTTCTGCCCTCGGACATCCCCCAGGCCAGCTCTCAGCCCGAGAGGCGTCTTGTCGCTTTAGGACAAGCGCCGTGCACTCCCGTGCCCCGTAGCAACGTGTAAGGGTCTCGTGACAAAGCGGTGCTGGTGAATACCGAGCGGGGAAGGATTCTCTGGCCTCGCTGACTAGGGAGTCCCTCCACACAGAGGGGCAGGGCAGAACACCTCTACTACGAGGCAAATCACATCATCACAAATTCCACATCCTCGGCGGGCCTCACCCTCTCCTGAGGAGGAAAGTGCTTCCCACTCTTTCACCCGAGGACCTAAACCCCCCCTCCTGTGCTTCAGGCCTTGTGTAACAAGGTTAGAAATGCCGTGTTAGTTCCCATGCAGAGGTAGATGTGCCAGTTACGTGCAAGCAGATTACTCACGACTCTGCAAGCTCAGCTCTCTCTTCGGTACGCTCCAGATCTCCTTCTATGATCACCAGTTTCCGAGCGACCTGGAAGGGAGAATCGGAGCAAAGAGGAAGATGGTTTTTCTACTTGTAGGCTGTGCAAGGCTGTAAAGGGAACAGAAGTCATCGGAGCTGCCAGAGTCTTTTGGCCAAGGGGAACGCTCCTGGAGCTCTGCTGGAAGCCAGGCTTTTCCCTCGGGTTTGCTGAGGAAAGCCCTGGCAGCAGGAAGAGGAGCCATCTCTCCTGGCCAGGGTCAGCTGTGTGAAAGCATCCAAGGGTCTCACCTCCTCGTACTTTCTGTCCGCCTCCTCTGCAATGTGCTTGGCTTCCTTGAGCTGGATCTCCTGCAGTTCCATCTTCTCCTCGTCCTTCAGAGCTCTGTTTTCAATGACTTTCATGCCTCTGCCCAAAACAAAGCACAGGGAGGGGAAATGTATGAAAGAATCCCGTACAAGCCAGCAGTGTAATAAGTTTCAGAGTATTAACGACGTGCTCTGGGACTCCGCTGCCTCCTTGTGTGCCACAACACCTCTGAGTGCAGAGAGTAGCCCAGGCACTGGGCAAATCGACTGCTCCGAATTAACTGCTCCTTGAAGCATTACTCCAGCACGTCATTGGACTCCTGGACTAAGGGAACGTGGTGTTGCTGAAAACAAGCCAGGAGTCTTAGGGACTCCACACGGCTGAGCCAAGCGCTTTCCAGGCTGGAATGCAGGAAAAGCCAAGTCCATCTTTCTGGCAGGACATCGGCCGTGTCCGGCTGCTTGCTACAGAGCGCACACTGACGAAGCCCATCAGCCTGCTGGAAGGAGACCGCTCCCCTCCACATCACAGCGCCAGGTCAGGGGACATCTGCCAGAAGGGAGGATGTTGGCAGAGGCAGCAGGAAGAGAGGCTTTCCCACCAGCAGCCACTTTCCCAAGTCAACGGTGTCACAGAACCCACTGAATTCTCCTCCCCCAGAGGTGGGGAGGCACAGCAGCACACACTATTGACTCGCTCCTTAGCCTCAGGTTCCAAAATACTCACTCAAGGCCACAGGCATTGTTTTAGTTGCTCCGCATAAGCAGATAGGGACTCCCACATCCAGCCTTGATGTGGTATCTGCTTTCCATCCTCCAGGAAGCCCAAGAGCTTGATGGCACCGGGCCCTCAGTCAGGAACTCCCCTGAAATCTCTGGCGGAATGAGGGCAGCAGCCCTCGCTCACCTTTCACTTTCATCTGCGGCCTTCTCCGCCTCTTCCAGCTTCTGCAGAGCTGTGGCAAGGCGCTCCTGGGCTCGGTCTAACTCCTCCTCCACCAGCTGGATACGGCGGTTCAAAGATGCCACTTCTGCCTCAGCCTAGAGGGGCAGCCGAGCTCTGCCTTCAGGTCAGCGGCAGCACACGGGAAGCCCGACCCAAGGCAGCGTGCTTCAGCCGCTTTCTTACAGAGCCTGCACTCCCACACACACGCGCGCTTCGCAACACACA